CAGCACCACTTACAAGGTTTGTGAAACTTGACCTTAATACCTCAACTGTTGCTTCATTATTTTTTTTATTGAATTTTATTTATCTCATGAATTCTTAAGTACCAATGCAAATCACCAACATTAACACCGGGGAATGTGTAACCAACAGGGGAAACGATTTATTAGGAACCATGTTTTATTTTTAAGTAATTTTAGCAAAATATCAAGTATTTACATGACAGTTATTTTCATCAAATTACCATCAATTCATCCATAAAATACAACAAGCTATTGAAATTCATTTGAATAAAGAAAAAAATTCATTTCAATACCTTCAAGTTGGACAAAGAGCCAAATGATTCAGACTTTTCACTATGGTTTTATGAATACAGATTTAATACCAGGAAAGGTAATACTTGAAAGTATCTCTCCCTCCAGATGGAACCATAGCTACCCCTCCCCCATAAAGGATAATGGTATAGTATCTCCCGATACTCCAGATCTAGTTTAAAATTACCATACCTTATATGCAGAGGCAACATCTCAAAAGACCACACTACATATTTCAAATGTGCTTCATTTTCCATGCCATCAAATCCGGAATATAATCAGACACTTCACAATTGCATTTTTTTTTCTTGTTTTTCTGCTCACATTTTACATGTATACCCCTTGCCATGAATTTAATCCGCTTAATCTGATTTGTTTGCTACTCACGCTGCAAGTCAATCCAAAACCAACGAGGTAGAACATGAAATCTTCTATCTCTGTACAAGGAAGGTGTGTGCCCTCTCGTCCCAGACACACAACCTGAAGACCCTTGGGGTTGCTTTTCCAATCAAGATGGCAATCTTATCTTGGGATGAAACGGACACCACTCATTTTCTGAATAGTAACCAGCTTCCAAAACCCCCAACATCAAATTCATATTAGATTACATGATTGGGTTTTTTCTTTTGTGAAATATAATTTGTACAATCTATTCAACAGTAATAGTTGAAATCACTATCACATCAGAACTTGGGGATATCCAGGCTACTGGTCTGGGTAAAACATGTTATAGCAGATTGAATATTCAAAGCAAGAATTGAGCACAAAAACATAATTAATATTTGTCTAAACTGAACAAGTTTTCTTAAACCCCTCCCCCAAAATCTTAAAAATATTGTTTTAGGTCATCCTATACAGTTAACCTAAACTTGGTGGGGTGTGGCGAGGCGAGGTAAGGCGAGTTGAGTTGAGGGCAGAACATACTTAACATACGTCTTGAATCTAGACAGGGTTAGGGTTTCAGGTGTAAAGCGAACCAATATATTTGCGTGTTAGTACATGTCTACACTTTACTTTACGAGGCAAGTTCTGATATGAAATATCAGAAAAAAACAGAGCAAATATATAAAAAATATCAAAAAATAATAAATTTTATTTTATTATCAATACTGGTAAACAAAAAAGCATTACATGGTGGCTCATTTGCATAACAAAGAAATGTTCATTGCACACATTGCTTGCATTGTTATTGTAAGCATGGCTTTATAGTTTTTCCAAAATTGTATAGTAGTGGGTCACTGTTCCATCTTGTCATGCAGAGAAGCCTAAATAAACAAAAACAAAGCTGATACAAACAATATGGAAATATTGTCACATAATAGATATTCTCACAGCTGATTTGATACAGAAATTAAATAGGAAATAGGACAAATTGAGTGCAAACTAATAAACAAGGATTGACATTTTTTTAAAACGCTTTTGAACATCAATTAACTTTTGTGACCTTTCATAAAATAAACTTAATTTTCAGGAATGCTGATAAAAATGGGAAATTACTTCCATCTTTGGTTTAAAATTTAAAGAGGTATTAACAGAAAAATGCCAAAGAATGTGGAAAATGTAGCACCAAAATGTTGGTGGGAAAACATGTTGCATGTCATGTTCAACTTGTAACTGCTGCAACAAGTATACATAGAGCTAATTTACATAATATTTCCATATGAATTTAGAGATGTACATTCTCTAAATAGTCCTACAAAATTATATACGAGTTCTTACCAGGAACTGCTGAACTGGGCCATTAAAGCTACAGAGACAATTATTTCTTGAAGTCTGGGGCCTTTTAACATCAGATGGCAAAATTAGCATTATTAATAGCATATGAGGTAAAATATTACATCTTTGAAAATAACAAATTATTTTAGGAACTGAAGAAATGCTTGTATAGTATTGGTAAATTTGCAGATTTCTTGGTTACATCAACAATGCCAGTAATTCTCCACATTAGACAACTTGATCAGTCACAAGATTTTAATCAATAATTTCTTCAAAAATTAAGCTATTACCGGTAATCTAAAATACACATACTTTAAGAGATTAGCAACATTTTAACTGAATGAATTACTCATTGTTTCATTAAGAAAATATCCCCCCAAAATTGTTCCTGGCATCAAGCTTATCCACCCCTTTTTTGAGGACTCTACCTTTTAATACCAGACACTTATTCAAAACAGTGATTTATTTATGAACAGCATGTCATATCATGCATTATTTTTTTTCTTATTTACTGTTGGAAGACTAAAAACATTAGAAACAGCTGTTGAACAAAGAAATGTAAACACCATAATAATATGAATGACAATTACAGTACCAAGCACAGCGTTATAATACAGCATACTAACAATCCAGCATGCATTAGGACCAACAAAAGCATGCCACTATTATTATTACATGCATAGGTACGTGATGACATGTACTACCTAATTTGCATGTGACTATTCCATCCGGGTGAGCATTTCTATTTTACAACACCGCTGGTAGGACAATGAGCAAAGAAACAAGTATATACTTACACACAATGTCACACAAGAGTTTTTTTTTAAACCAGAAAGCATTAAGCCTTTTTAATTAAACAAACTTAGCTTCAAGGGCATCTAGTTGATAACTAACCCAGTCACGTTGCCACTTGTACCTTGCCAAAGGTCAGAGCAAAATGGCTCCCAATCATTAGTTATTCATAGCTAAATTATTAAGTAATAAAACTGCCAGTCAATAAACATCATCCAATCCACAGACTTGATAAATTATAAAGAGCACACACCACCTTAGATACCAGTTTTTTTTTGGAAGACATACACCAAATTCCACGCATTTACATACCAACTTGCAGCTGTTTTAAAAAATGGTTACTAAAATATATCGGTCATGGTTATAAATCCACCCTGTACACAGCATTATTTTCCAATTATCATTTAGTGAGAAATCTTCATTGTTCTTTAGAACTCTTAAACAATGAACTTAATCAACTCTTAATGAGGCCATTAAGTTTGATCAATTAGGACAGGTGATAATTACCTAACTGATTTATTATGACATTTTTCATCTTTCATTGCTGTCCTTCCTCGCAGAGTTAATAATCAACAGAACACAGAATGATGGCAAATAATACGGTACATGACCAGCATACCAAATGATAAAGAGACCCACCCTACAAAACTCATTAATTCACATTAATAAACAAAATGACACTTTTAATTACTGGTGCACATTAAATAAAAAATTAACTATATATATATTTTTAAATGATAAATTCAAATGAGAAAAACAAAAACTAAAAGAAAAAAATTACTGTATCAGGTGTGTGCTGGATACAATGAAGAACAAGACCCGGATGAAGCAGCCATTCACAAGGGTCCCAACAATACAATTTAATACAATAAATATGCTAATACTCCATTGGGGGTAAGGTGGAAGAGATCAGAGGGTAGAAATCTTCCACTAGAAATCATTTAGACATGCAGTATTAAAGCTAACTTGGCACAAATTCAAGCATAACATTATTTTAACACTAAAATCCAATCAAAGATTTGTTAATGATACCAATTTTATTAAAGGAATATTTTTGCACCAGACTAGTGTTGTGCTATTTTTAATGTGAAAATACACTTTTTATCCATTGGGTCATTTAAAACTACATATCTCAAATACTTGTTGGGGTCAAGAAATTATTGCTGAGGAATGCTTGAGACAAAAATAATTTCCTACGTGCAATGCCGAAAAAAAAATCTTGATAATCTTGAGCAGTCTTGGCATGATATTATATAAAAATTAATAGTTGCTCAGAAACCATTTTAATTCACAGAATACAATGATCTGAACAAAGCTACAATTTGTGACCTAAATAAAGATTTGCCTAACAACAATAGCAGGCCACACCCTATGCACGGCGTGTCAGGCCTGGCAAGGGCTTTTGATTGTAATCGCAGACAATACATCATATTCAAAGCAACTGGGCTTTTTGGCCGTGGCCGCCTCCATTATGATTATACACAATCGCCGCAGAGCTCGATTAGCGACAGTCGGTCACGTTGTCAAAAAACAACGCTTTCTTGAAAAACTTGGAATCCATTACTCGCGAAAACCAACGTCACGGAGCGATTTCACCTTGCATATATACCAATCACAAGCACACAACCGAAAAACGATGCGACGGCACGTACAAAGAATCAAGAAACGACAAACAAGACTTTAATTAAAACGGCAGTGTTATTTGCATTTCGATATGAAATGATAATGCATTGTGAAACAGCGGGGGAGGAACTTCCAGAAACAGTGCAAGAAATGCAAAAAGTGTTCATAAAAATCTGTTTTATCTCACTCTTGAAACCAGGGATGTGTTTTGTGTTTCGATGACAAAATTCAGTACGTGACCAGGCGTACTAAAACAACTTGGTTCCGGTCATAGATTGCTTGCCAGTTGAATGGCTAAATTCGAACTATCCATAGCGGGGACACATTTATATTGACGAAACCAGTCTTCCACGAATGTTGGTATACGAAAATTGGACCGTTGGTGGAAGTCATATCAACATCCAGCGCAAAAGTAGACGCGCCACCGTGTACAAAAAAATCGTTTCTTCCCGGAATATACGAACCTGGTTGGTTTCGAATTTCTCGCAACAGTTAGCGCACGGCATGAGGGGAAAAGATTGGGTCAAAGTCAAAAAAGAAGTGCTGGCCACACTACCTACCTTGAATTGAGCAAACAAAAGACACAGCTAACACTACACACACGATAGTTGACCGTCGCTAGACACTCTAACGTGTAAATTTGTCGTCGGTACTGTTCAGAATATCGTTCCAGACGATCCAGTAACAGTCATCTAAAATCTACAACGGCCGATATTACATATCTTGTCTTTGTGTGGTGGAAGATCCTGGCAGAATATTCGTGGTAAAATGGTGGCAAAGCGTGCACTCCAACGGAATACAAATCAATGGAAAACAGAGGAAGCGCAGGTTCACAAGGCCAGAAGGGCAACTAATTTGAACACAATATACACTTTTAAACTTCTCCAGATATTTCTTAAACACATGACAATTGTTAGTATCGCATATTTGAACAAGTAAAATTCATACCAATTGTATAATTTGTAATACTGACAGTTGTATATTATATAGTATTGGGAAGTGGTTCTTCGTTTTAAATATACACCCCCGTTTTTGAATGGGGAAGTCCCTTCCCGGCTTCCCATAATGCTGAGCGCAGACAGCCAACAACATGGCGGATCTGAAGGCATTAGAGCACTCTACTTTGAAGGTATTTTGTTTGATTTTATCCCTCCCTGTGTCTGTCATAACTGTTTCTTGTAGCTTCTATAAATATATTGTGAACTGTTAGAATTATTTTTTAGGATCCACATACTCATTGATCTCTGATCCGCCTTCTTCAAATGATTTGGTACTTTGGAAAGATAGATAAACACCGGGGATAAACAGTTCTCGAGCTCGCCCGGTCAGCCAGCAAGGGTCGATCGAGCGGAACACCATCGACACTGGATGGTCGGTCGGTTCCTAACGCTGTTATTGTTTCATCACAAATGTCCGACCTTAGCAGCCAGAAACTGCAATGGAATTGTTCTTTATTTTAGTGTATACGAGTCAAAACACAGCTTTGTAAAGACTATTTGTCAGTACATACTTTGACAATATGTTCACTGTGATGTTGCACCGTTGATCAGCTGATTCATTTCACTCTCGACATCCCTTCGTGAAATTTCTGCTGAAATTCTGCAGTGACAAACTGGATATTGTATTAATAAATATGTAAATCTGTCAGCATTCAAATTTAGCACCGCTACCTATGTCGACCCTTCGTGCATGTATCGTCATCACAACTGAACTATGGGTACTAGTTCCATATGACTGTCTTTCAAACTTATTTTAATTTCAAGTAATCGACCTCATCGTCGTGTCCTGTGATAAAAACACTCCTCAGTGAACCTCATAGCCGGCTGATTATTGAGGAAGCGTGACAACACTGTGTGACATGTTCTACCTCACCCAATTCTGTACTTGTTAATATGAATTTATTATCTTGCCAAAGACAAACGTAAAAACCTTCAGAGCATAACACATTCCATTGCCCAAAGCCAGTCAGCCATGTCTGGTTACTTTCAGTGTGTGTGACGTGTACACTGATATTTTCTTTTTTAAAATAATCAAAAGTTTTATTATTTCTAACATCATCATTTTTGTCGTCGCAGAAATATTCATTGAATTGTTAGGGCAGGCGATGGCAAATATATGTGTCTGTTCTTCAGAATTCATGTAGCCCACACATGATATCCATTGTCACTTGGTAACAGCCCTTCATTTTGGTCATAAGATGTGTTTCCATATGCCCATCATGGCCAGTGAACAAATAATGAATGATCGCTGTTGTATATGTTCATACTAGTTGTATGTACCATATTTGCTCTATTAGAAGCACACATACATGTGTTCCACTGTATATATTTACTATTTTTCATTATGATTGTAAAACAGAATAATTGCTTTGTGATTTTTTTTCCAGAAATGAGTAATATTTTATCTTGAGAGAAAGGTTTAATCAAATAATAATAGTTTATGATAAGTTGATACTGTGCAAGATTTGGCGAGCACAGTATTGTACATAGAATAAACTCTGAATCCAATATGGCACTGTTATGCTTGATTGGTTCGTTGAGAGATGTGTTAAGCATTGGAATATGTGTATTACTCTATGCTGAAACATAAAGACGACATGTGATTCAGGCATAAACAAATGTTTAATGCTAATCTTCTTTTGACTCACTATGTTCCACTGTATCCCTTCTTGACTCACTTTGTTTCACTTCATCTCCTTTTGACTCACTATGTTCCACTGTATCTCCTTTTGACTCACTATGTTCCACTGCATCTACTTTTGACTCACTATGTTCCACTGCATTCCTTCTTGACTCACTATGTTCCACTGCATCCCTTCTTGACTCACTATGTTCCACTGCATCTCCTTTTGATTTACTATGTTCCACTGCATTCCTTCTTGACTCACTATGTTCCACTGCATCTCCTTTTGACTCACTATGTTTCACTGCATCTTCTTTTGACTCACTATGTTCCACTGCATTCCTTCTTGACTCACTATGTTCCACTGCATCTCCTTTTGACTCACTATGTTCCACTGCATCCCTTCTTGACTCACTATGTTCCACTGCATCCCTTCTTGACTCACTATGTTCCACTGCATCCCTCCTTGACTCACTATGTTCCACTGCATCTCCCCTTGACTCACTATGTTCCACTGCATCTCTTTTTGACTCACTATGTTCCACTGCATCCC